TTGAAAGTTTATTTCACGTCACAAGTTGCGTCGTATCATTTGGTTTGTATTGCTTTATTTAACTTTTCCCTTTTTTGGTCCATTTTAACTAAGTTATTATGTCTTATCTCTCTTTGGTTGGACTTGAATAATAACAGCAGAAAATTGTTTTGCTATCATTACTTACCTATACATTTCGTGGTGCGTTAACTAAGTGTTTGTTCTTCCTTCAATTAATTTTTAGTCCTATATTATTATGATAAAATTGTGTCTGTATGAGATCAATATACTTGGAAATAAATGACTTTCATTCATTCATTCATTCGTTCATTCATCAACACTAGGAAGCAGAGGTAACGTAAGTGCCTAGTTGGTATTTTGTAAATATTTGCCCAATGTTTTCCATTTTCTCCTTAGTCTGACCACTAACTCCAAATTCTGTCATTAATTACGTTACGTATTTAACTTTATAGTAGTTAATTAAATTCACTGATTATCCAACGATAATTATAAAAAAAACAAGGCTGTATATAATCGCCAAGGCACCAGACTAAACAAAAAACTGCACATTTTGGCGCCATTTCTCCAGGCGTCGCGTCCTTTTGCGGACGAGTAAACAAGAGGATTATTGTACCTATAAAAACTATTGATTTTAAGTCATTTGTTGAGCAAAGTATTAACTAAAGCAACTATTGTACTTACTCAAACATGTTTTACGGGTATTTTCATATTATTTTTGACAGTTTATAGATAAACATTTTGGCCGTCGGCGCCATGTTGAAATTGGTTACGGTTAGAAGTTGGTTATTAGAAAATTCATCTTTTTTTCTATGAGTGCAATGTCTGTTCGGGAGCCTACGTAGATTTTTTTGTATTTACAGTCATCCAAGTTTTTTGGTAAGTAAGCCAGTAAGACAATAAAAATTGATTACGATTATAATACATAAGTAGATAGTAACTAATGGGTATCGAATAAACCAAATAATAATGACAAGAGATGAAGCTTCGTTAGAAAGCACAAAATTAGTTTTACAAAACTACAGCATCTGGAATTTTTTACTACATTGACCTCTGATCTCTATTTTCTTACCTGCATACCTACCTAATAAAACTCGAGACGTCGGTTGCACAAGTTACAGATTTAACTTTTTATTATACTCTATAGACAAACAGAGCACAGTACCTACATAGACTATAGAGGTACATGCAGTCGTGCATAAATTATTAAACTATTATTTTGATATAATCTATAACAATACCAAATAAGTAGCGTAACTTTCTGCATTCCTAGTACCTAGCGACGACGAATAAAGTAAAGTAATAAGAATGAGCCAGTACAAGTAATTTTGGGGTTTGGCTAATTTATCTCATTATCGCACATTACACTAACATTAGACGTGTCTTTGATTTCCCCCGACTGTGTCTGGATTGAGTCCTGTCGGGCGCCGTTGCTAAGCAAATATTGTTTCTTTCTATCCTAAGACAACACGGTGACAGTTCAACCGTTCGACGTGTTCCTACTTACTCAGACATTGGCAAAGAGCTCTCGGGTTTGTAAGTTATGAAAAATATATTTTATGCTACAGTTATTATCTACTAGCTTCTGCCCGCGACTTCGTACGCGTAATCCCATTTTCTCCCGTCCCCATTCGTGATTTTCGGTAAAAAGTAGGTAAAAAAAAATGTTGGTCAAAAAGTATCCTATGTCGGTCTCCTGGCTCTAAGCTACCTCCCTACTAATTTTCAGCCAAATCTATTCTGCCGTTCTTGAGTTATAAGTGGTGTAACTAACACGACTTTCTTTTATATATACCTATAGATGACATGTATTAAATGTTTTATAATATATACTTATATAGCTACCTGTTTTTTAAGGGGGGAAAAATCATCGAATGAATTCTCCTGTCTGGCTGAGGCGGGAGGGAGTGTCAGACTGTTACTGACTAAAAACCACCCTGTTCTTACTCCTGCACTTCGAGCCGGAGCTCCGGTAACCTTTTACGTTCTCAGTTACTAATATATAGCTACATATACTATCAATTGTCTCCATTGAAGAAGCAGGCACACCGCTACCAAGATATTCCGTTCATAACAGATTCTAGTACCTACCTATCATCAACACCCTATAAATGCTCATTGCAGAGCAAAGCCTCTTCTCACACGGAGAAGGTTCTTCATTAATCACCACGCTTGCTCAATGCGGGTTGGCGATTACAAACTTATAATTAGAAATTATAAGCCCAGATTTCCTTACGATATTTTCCTTCACAGTTTGTCAGTGGTATCTGAATAATCTTAGAAAGTACAACTCGGAAAAGTCACATTGGTACTTGCCGTTGGTTGGTTTTGAGCCCGTACCCTCATGCATGAGAAGTGGGTGTCTTAACCTTCGAACCACCACGACACTATGTGCACCAGCGATTTATTTTTCCCGATTAACAGGCACACGCGACTGCAGTATAATTGCTGGAGTATCGGCCTCCTGTCCATTGCAACACCCACTTTCACTATTTATGTTGAGTCCCATGTAATAAGGGGTGAGCATATTGCTATATACCGGGCACAAATCCAAACTCCGTGCTACTACTGAGATTTTTTAAAAAGACCCAGAAATGTTTGCCCGATCCAGAAATCGAACCCGAGACTCCTTGCCCGGCAGTCGCACTTGCGACCACTCGGCCACAGAGGAAGAGAAGCTTGACATAACGAATATCTAATCTTACCTAGGTACCAACCTAGACAGAATGCTATGCTTAGATCTAGATTTATTTAGACCCAGATAGAGGCGTGTATCGTATGAACTAATTAGTAATTATCTTGTAATTAGGTGAGACACTCGACGCGTGGTATCATAGTTAATTAATGAGTCCTGCCTACCCTCTAATGAACGACTTAATGATAATGTCTAATAACTTTACGTAGGTACCTACAGTCGCGTGTAGGTAACGTGATTATCTTTTATAATTAGGTACTTATTTTGGTCTTTTTTGATTAAGTCAAAGTCAAAGTCAAAATCATTTATTTCAATTAGACCAGGAAGGCACTTTTGAACGTCAAAAACTAAAATTAGAAGTGAAACTATTTGCTCATTCCAAGGTGTTGATTCCTATGGAGAAGAACAATACCCTTGTGATCCTTTAATTATAGAATCACATCATGCGATACCAAACATACAGAAATTGAATTAAATGACATGTAATTACAAAAAATGTCAAGATATTGTGTTGACCCCGTATACCAAGACCAAGACGATGGTTGGTATGGTCTACTAGTCGAGTACCTACGTCTAACTAGTCGAGTTCCTCATCACATAATTACGTGAGTAAGCCGAAAACATAATAATTTAAGACGATGGTGGATAATGAACCTAGGAAGAGTCACAACCTATGTAATCACCACTGGTAAGTTACATGAGGTAAAACTTCTGCAGTTCCCAATCTTTCTTCTTCAAAAACTTTAAACGCGTCTGGTGTTCCAGGTGTCTATGGGTGGCGCCGATTGCTTACCATCAGGTGATCCGTCTGCTCGTTTACCGGGCCATGAAAAAGCCTGCCTTTTGAAGATTTTCCTTAGAGATACCTAGGTAAGTCTTAATTTCATCTCTTGTTGCCAGTCGCTACAAGTAAAAGTAGTTGCTGAGCAAGAGGTGCGATTTCCGAGTCAGCCAAAGGAGATTTGTCGTTGTTTTGAATTTTTCAGTAGGTAAGTATCTAATTTGCTGAAATTAGGGTATTTATTAATTTTATTTATTGTAATGAAAAAAGAGAACTTACAAGTCCAAAACTAAAACAAAATAACACAAAAATGGCAGCTTTGTTAACAGCTTTTTCAAAAATGGAGAATTGAATAAACCTAGTATGAAACGTTTCCTACAATTTATTGACGTTCTCCCTTCGACATTCAAATTCAAATGGATTCTATCCGTAGGCGTAGCGGTTTGAGGCGTTGTCTTAACCGACCAATCAGAGCGAAAGGATCACCCTCCAAGGATAACGCTGTATTGTGATTGGTTAATTTACTGACACCTGATAGTGATGTCCTGGGGAGCCCTTGTCAGTTGTCTCTGTCTGTTGTAGTCGTTGCGTTGAGCCTACTCGTCTACATTCTGCTTTTTATTATTATAATTTATGAACAATTTTGCCGTAGGTTGAAACATGGTTGGTAATGTAATTTCTAATTGAATTGACTGGAGGATAAATAAGAATGTACTTAATATTTCGTAGTAAAACAGTTCAAATGAATATTTAACTTAGGTACCTATTGGTTTAAGATGGACCTAACGCTATGAATTTGGTTTTTATTTTACCTACTGATTATATCGAATGTCTGATGTTAGTTAATTTATAATCTGCTAAATTTTACTAAAAACAAATTTTTATTTTTACTATTTTTGCCTATTAGGTAATTACGGGCATCTGCATACATATCGAATTGTACCTTAAGTAGGGATATAATATTTGATAAATAATGTATGCATCTTTGTTTATTTATCAAAATAAATTTTTAATAAACATACGTACCTAAATAAGAATTGAAAATAAATGTGTAATTACGTAATTTCTGTTCCATTATGTTGCTAAGTGCTACGAAAAAGTGCTACGAGAACTAAGGAATGCATTTTGTTACCCTCTAGCGGTTACGAGAGTAACTAAAGGTTGTCCAGCGACATCTATCGGTATGTGGACTAAGAAGAAGTGCCCTCTAGTTTATTTCTAAAGTACTAATCGGAATACTAACTGGCTACGTAGTTTTACTACTCCACGCTAGATGGCAGTAATTTGTACTTTGAAAAAGTATAATTTGTTTTTCTCAATTAGTAATGTTTTCGTTTTGTATTTATTTCGACGTATTTATCAATAATATCCCATTTGTTAATTATCAGATTTAAAAGGGGGAAACAAAAAATATCAATTATGATGTGTTTATTATATTTTTTGTTATTGTAACATTAACTGACGCGTGTCTGGTACATGCGCAATAAAACTTGCTTGTACTGACGCGTTTGACATTTCTGTCATTTCACTTTTACATACGTGTCAAGCGAACTTGCGCGTTTGGCTTTCGCAGCCTCTAATTTTAGGAATTAATTGTGAGTAAAAATTTATTTTTGTTATAATTCACTTGTTAATATACCCTTAGGACTGTTGTGTATAGTTTGTGTGTCATTTTTCATATAAAAACTGTAGTTTAAGTTGTAAGTTAAGTCGGCCTGTTTACACTATAGTTTCATTACGTGTATGTAAAAACATTTTTCTTGATAACAACGCTTGATTTAGTGTATAATTCATGTTAATACCGTGGCAAAACCTCATTACTTTATAAATTACGAATGTGGTGACAACATTTTCACTAGAAAACAGTTTGTGTGCACTTTACGTGGTCTCCAGCTGTTCATGATCAAAGTGATTGTGTTTTCTCATTTAATCCATTGGTTTCGAGAAGTTTTAAGCCAACTACGACGTAAATAAAAGGTGAAACTTTGTAGATTAGCGCTGATTAACTTACTGACCTTCGTTTTGCTATTTTAATTGAGAATTATCATTAAGTAGGTGATTAGACTATTGTTATTGAGAGATAATATATTTCTTAATTCTGACACGTATTCAGCGTGGAAAACTAGTCAATGTGGTATTTCCAATAACGTAAACGCGCGCGCAAATGTTAAGACGTGTATTTTTGTGTTAAATTCACAGTTATTTAGTTATATGTAGTGTGCCACATACCAGGGCAACAACAGTTAGAAGTGTTGACATATTTTATTAGTAATCAACTTGTGGAGAGACCTTTCTATTCAGCCAAAGTAATATTTATAGTATTGAAACTGTAAAAAAGGTATTTAGTTTTTCTCTAACAATTTCTCAAAGTTTAACAGGTGATTGTGTTTGGTAAGTTCTAGAAATGGAATTTACCTATTCCAAATTAATTTGTTATGAATAACAGGAAACTCAATCAAAAATAAACAAAACCTTATTTATTTATTGCAAGTATACTTAGTAAATTGAAAGAAGGATAATTACTAATTATTTCAATTACTTGCCTATAATTAACTGTCATTAACTTTGTGTTGAATGCAGTTGCATTAACTTTATCTTTGTTTTAATTGTTGGTATGCTAATTTTCGTGTAATTAATGAAAGTGAAAGTAAATTTCTTATATTTTAAACTAGAGACGGACAGCTGTCATAATATATTTTGTGTTCTTTAACTTTATTTAAACTTATAATTTAATATTAACTATTTAAAATGGAACACATTTATGGTCATGACATTAAATATTAAGACCATTCTCCATTAGAAAACGAGTGTTCAATATAAGATATTGAAATTTTGGGTTTTAGTAAATCATAATACTGTTCAAGATCGTTGTAATAGCGCAATAAAACATTTTTTGTTAAAAATAATGTTCCGACCTTCTGGGTAGGCACCATCGATTTCTAACTTGAACAGTATCAAAACTAAAAAAAACTTAAAAGCGTAAATTTCAAATAAAACGTAATTTTGGTACTTTTGAAAATATCAAATATATATCTAATAATAATCGAAATAAATAATATTTGGTCAGTCAGTCTGTCATTGAAGCTAGGTCATTCCAAAATGTAGATTCGAATGGAGAACAACGAGAAAGAAACTCCATTCGTAATTCTTTTTAAAATAAAATATGTGTAATTGATTAGTTAGATTCATAGATTTTATAGATTCTTATGGTAAAATTACTTATTAGAAAAGTGTACTTCTCTTAGTTACAATTAGATGACTCAAGAAAGGTAGAATAATTGGTTTACAATTCGAAAAGCATTTTTCACTTGGTCTAATAAGTTTCTTTTAGTCCAACTAGCAAGTACTTTGAGGTTTCCTATAGACAATGTGGTAGTTAACTCGTCAAGTACCGGTTTTATAGACACAATTAAAGAACAATAGGTCGCGGTCACCGGTGACCGCTTAGTGTTTGACAGTTTAATCTAACAGTACCTAACCTACTAAGTCATTGTTTAACAAGTACTTAGAATGGGACTGTATAAACAATTTATAATAGTTAATATCATTAGACAATCATACTCGGTAACGCTCTAGACGGATGGTCTGTATTTTAACTGCAAATTGCAATTCGGATGAAGTTTGAATGTATTTGTCTCATGACTGCAATTGTACTACAAACCAAACATGCAGTCCGATTGCAGTTCTATTGCAGTCATGGCTAAACAGTTGCAAAAAAAAATTTAATTAATTGATTTTTATTATTATTGTTTTGATTATTTAGTATTATTATTTTAAACTTGACCATGTTCAATTGATTATTTCTGACATTTGATTGTTTTGTCTGATTGTGTATTATTTGACGTGTGCCATATTTTTGACATTTTGTATTGTTTTTAGTTTTTAGTCACAGTTGTTTTGTTCTTAGCTTTTAATTTAATTTAATTTTAACTTTTAATTTGTATTGCCAGTTTTATGTATATTTTTATGATTTTTTGCATGTTGTGGCCTCCTATAATTGAGGAAGCACATAGCTTTTAATTTTTGTAACGCTACTCGTGTGTGCTAAGTGTATTCCTTGTTGGAGACCCTAATTCAATAAATAAATAAACCAAACGAGCAGTCCGATTGCAGTCATGGCAACTGAAATCCGGTTCGTCTGATTAGAGCCTTACTCATCATTTTACCATGAGTAAACTAATTGAAGACTAATATAAATATTAATTACTTTGTATTAACTTAATATTATTTTGTTTACAGGACAAATATATCTGCTAATCATTAAAAATGGCCCCCAAACAGAGGATGCGCATCGCCAACGAGATTGCCAGCAAAAACATTACCATGAGGGGTAATGTGCCCAAGACTACCAAGGTAACATAATGTTTAAAGAGGTCTTTTTTCTTTATTATTAACATGTATTTATTTGATTTTGTATTTGCTTGAGAAGTTGCTAACCTAACAAACAAGACAAACAAGAAATTACTTTATTTTTACCCGTTTTAGAGAATATTTTATTTATTTGATTTGCATACGAAATTAAACATGTTTTTCGGCTTAGTCACGTAATTATTTTACGAAGAGCTCTACTAGTTTCAAGCCATGCTAGAGGCTCATATTTCCAGTAGCAGAGCGGCAGAAAAGAGCTTTCTCATAATACTTTTAATTTTACACCTAATTGTGTAGCATACTTATATTCATATTAATCACACAGGTCTTATTCGAATTGTAAAACTAATTTAGCTACCATTCAATATTATTAATTTCCTGTACCCAAAATATGTTTTTTTTTTTCATTAATATAAATGCAAACATGACATATGGTGCCTGTGGGCCCCAAACTAAGCACAGCCTGTATCTTGGTGGCCCAGTGGTAAAGGTTTAGATTTAGACTAGTTAGTTCTCCCATCATGGTTGTGAAACAGTGCAAAGATAATGTACACTTTGACCCGCTAATGTGTTTACTAAATTATTAATATGGTAACATTGTTGCTTACTTGGACAATGTTGCCATAGATACTTGCTTTATTTTTGAGAGATAAATTCTGTCACATAAATGAGACTTTTCTATTATTCCTTGAATAGAAAACGGAGGTATCACATTTTTGAGTTCCAGTATAAAAGTCTGTGACCCAGAAATTGAATCGAGTCCTGTCATTATTAAACACCAGCTTTTGTCCGCGACTTCTTCCGCGTAGAATATGATTTCAGTTTTATCCCAAGAGAGTATTCAATCGGGATACAAAGTCAAATTTCATCAAAATCCGTTTAGTAGTTTCAGCGTGGTTGACGGACAAACATCCAAACAGAAACAGACTTTCATACATACATACATAACTTCACGCCTGTCTCCCATGGGGTAGGCAGAGACTGAGGAACGCCAATTACTACGATTCTTACATACCTCTTTCGCTTCATTAACAGTCATCAATCTTTAACAGACTTTCAGATTTATAATATAAGAGCGATTAAATTAACCAAGTACTAATTTTAAAACAAACATAAAATCACACCTTTTTTCCATCAAGTGTATAGGCAGAGTTAAAGAGTTATACATTCCTGTCTTCTATTTAAAGTAAAGTAAAGTAAAGTAAAGACGTTAAACCTTGAAAAAATGTGAATCTTAAAAAGTGAATGTTAATTCTCGATGCCATAACTGTTCAATTCGTGAAGCGATTATATCTAATGTTACTTTGTTGCATGAGTGACTTGAAAAGTGAAAGTTTCTGTAGCTTCACTCGTATTCTACAACTTAATGAAAATGCCTTTGTGTCAATCTAGTAATGTGTAAAAAGTGCTTCAATTATTTGTTACTGAACTATGTCGAATAATATCAGAGTGGAATACTTAAACTGTCACCTTCCCTACACTTCTCAGGGGTGTCTGAGGCCCGATTAAGGAACTATACATTTAACACAGCCATCAGACCACCAATAGGATTGATGCCGATTCGGAGCCGCGGAGAACCTAATGGGTTACCGGGGCTCGAAGTGCAGGAGTAGGAACGGGGTGATTTTTAGTCAGTAAGAGTCTGACACTCCCTCCCGCCTCACCTAGGCAGGAGCAGTCATTCGATGATTTTCCCCTCTTAACACGTTAAACGCCATGGGGGTCACCGGTGACCGGCGTTAGCGGAGGATTTACCTTCAACAGGTTTTTATTGGCAGTCAAAGTCTTAAAAAAAATACATTTAACATGGAGGACTGAGCAGCAGCTCCTTTTGAATTGCGATCTTCAACCCAGAAGACTATGGGTCTCTAGCAGTTGCCTGTTGCACGCTAATCCTAAAATGTTAATTCACATTTTGTTTATTTCACATGGAATGTTGTACGATATGGCAAAACATTCCAACTTAATCTTCGTGCAACTTAGCGCGTGAAATTAATTATGTACAGTGTGTATATGTTGAATATTTAAAATAAATGAACTATTTTATAGTTTTCATGGTGGTGGTTGAAATAGCTATACCATTGAAATATAAATAAATACAAAAAAAATTCTGCATTCAAACTCAGTTTTTGGCGTTTGGTGGTGCCGTTTATTAGTAATGCACTTACATACAAAGTCAAAGTCAAAATCATTGATTTCAATTAGACCAGGATGTCACTTTTGAACGTCAACAACAAAAATTGAGAAGTGAAGTTAGTTGCTCATTCCAAAGTGTAGATTCCTAAGGAGAAGAACGAGCAAGAAACTCCATAGGTTACTCTTTTTCAATCAGGTTTACAATACAATTCTCTATACATAGTTTCATTGGTTCGATTGTGTGAGAACAATGCAACACCTAAATCCAGTCAAAGAGATTGAAAAAGAAAAAAACCTTGAGGATAATAAATATAGATTGGTGGTTCATGTTTATTAATGAAGAATGTTTATTTGTTACAGGAAAAGGACGATCAATACCCTGTCGCACCCTGGCTGCTCGCTCTCTTCATATTCGTAGTATGCGGCTCAGCAGTGTTCCAAATAATCCAATCTATAAGACTCGCCTAGATCGCCCTTGTGATTCCCCACCCTTGACTGAATACCTATCCATTGTGGCTTGAATAGTTTCCTACAGGCTTTTAACTTCTACTCACATCTGAAGGCCTAGTACTTTTCCGTCTCATCTCGAGACTTAAACATCTTCAACAAAACTGGCTTTAATGAAGCTTAGTTAAATGTTCTATGCGTTTCTGGTCGCCTGGTATTATAAAGGTGCGTATTGAAACACGTTGTTTCCTTTCTAAGCTGTAAGACAAGTTTTCATGAAACCCTTCAAGCCACGAATCCCCGTAGTAAATTACAATAAATTTTATAAATATTACACCATGCTAGGAGCTGCTGTTCCAAATCTCCTAATATGGACGACTGCGCCAACTCTCTATGTAGCTTGCAAAGTTGCAGTACTTTATGTTTAATTCATAAGCGCAGGTTTTAAAAACAACATAATCTCAAGAAAAAAAAACATAATTGTACGTACTATATTCTTGTATATTGTAAAAAATGAATTTAATATTAAGGTGAATATAAAATCGAGAGCATTTAGATAAAATGTTGTTGAAAATTCATTCCTTTATTTGAGACCTTGGTGGACTCACGCACAAGCGCGACTGAGGATAGTCGTGGGTTTTTTATTTTTATTCGATTATATGTAGTTCAATTTAATTGTAAAATAAAATTGTTTTATATCCGCGCCACTAACGAAATTATTTGTCGGTACTATTTTTAATTTTAAATGTAATTTATTTGATTAATAAATACAGTATATTTGTCATATTATACACATTTTTTTTTATTTCTTTCCCAATGCCAATAAATAAGTTATGGTCACACATAAACAAATATATTATTTTTTTACAATCGTAACTTTGGTAATAGAAATATAATTAATGTTTTTGTTACGACTGAACATAAGTAGTCAGTGGGTACTTAACAATGTAGTTAAAAACGTAATTATGCTGTCGAAAGTAGACATTTGCTTTTATGAGAACATAAAAAAGTATCCTCTTTTGCAGAATTTTATAATTTTTTGTTAAGGCGGGAAATATCATCGAATGACTTCTCCAGCCTGGGTGAGGCGGGCGGGAGTGCCAGACTCTTACTGACTAAAACCCTGTTCCTACTCGTGAACTTCGAGCCGTAGCCCCGGTAACCCGTTAGGTCCTCTGTGACAGAATCTTAGTAATAAAAGTTCAGTAGGAGGTTGAACAAAGGTAGCTTTAAAGCGTTAGAATCTTATACTATTATCTTATCTTATTACTACATATTATAATATAAAGCGGAAGAGTTTGTTTTTTTATTTGAACGCGCTAATCTCCGTAACTACACGTCTGATTTGAATAAATCTTTTTTTGTCTTGGATAGCGCATTTATCGAGGACGGCTATAGGCTATAAAACATCACGCTACGATATGAGCTGGGCAAAGCGTATGAAACCGCGCGGATGTAGCTAGTAATAAAATAATTTATATTAAGTCTACATAAGAAATTTCCGTTTTGTATGAAATATAATTTGTTTTCATGTACCTATTTTTTATTTGTAATCGAAGTAATCACCCATACAATGACATGCATGCATCTTTGCCAACGCAGAGGCAATTTATCGATGCCCCTCTTAAAGAAATCAGCTGGACGGGAACAAATTCTTCAAAGGCATTTTGTACGGCCTCTCGGGTATCGAATTTTTTTCCCGCTAAAAAGTTGTAGTCTGTATGCGCAAGGTCTGGTGATCTAGGATCGGTTCACTAGAGCTGGCCAATCAGAGCCAATCTGAACCTCTATTATTTAGATTTCGCAGATAGCATGTATGTGGTTACAATGTAATAAATCGACCACGTGTCATTTGTTTTATCAGTGATCTGGCATTATTATTGTAAAAACACAATTTGAATCATTTCAATGGTATCTCATACATTGAAAGAGCTTGCGTCACGTATTTATACACGTGGTGTTCCACTTATCGGCAAACAGTTTAAATTATGTACCAACTGCTGATTACCGAGGCTACTGAATAAAAACTACGTATTAAAAAGACAACGTGTCTTTATGACTTTTTCCACAATAAAACAACAGATTTATTTCGATAATTATTTTGTATAATTTCGCAAAACATTTCAATTTTACATTTTCGTTGAGAGCACATTTCGATTCATTATAATACAATGTTATTAAATCTATATAATACAAACGCTTTTTACAATTATGTCATGTCATATGTGGTACTTATACCATTATAATTACGTTGATTATACCACTACCAAAAGAGAATAGGTCTTATGTATTTAATTCGTGAATTTTATAAGCCCAGTAGCGCTTAATTCTGCAGCGGTGAATAGCGGAACTAAATTTAAAATTAAGAAAAATTAATACAGATATCGAAATTGTATAACAATCTACATTTCTGTGGATATCATGCAAATAATATTAGAACGTTTGATAATACTTAGTAATCCCAATACTATTTTTATACAATAATCTTCTTAGTTCTGCCATTCACCACCAGATGTCAATAACATTTAATTTTACTAGGTCTGATTCCAAACAATTTATATTAAATAAAAAATTGTATTTTTGGTAGTGGCACAACCATTATCTAGCAATCTAGACTAAATTGAGCACCCTATAGCACCAATTGTGATGAAAATATAATGTGAAAAACAGTCTGTTTTTGTAATCTTAGTTCATGTGATACAATTTTAGATTTTATTCATTTTTCCCATAATCAATACGTTTTATTGCGAAAATATATTACATTGTTTATAACTACATAAATATAGTAATATGATATATGATATCTTATAATATGGTGAATGAAAATAACGATTCAGATTTCTAAATAGATAAATAGGTGCGTAGTACTTAATGGAAGAGATAAATTAAATACGACACGAAAATTTACGCGGGAAATACCTAGGGTACCCTATCTAGTGTATTAGAATTACCACTTAATGATTAGAATATTTAGTACCTAACTAGATTTTTTGTCATATCCCGTCGTCAAAAGATTTAAAGTAAAAAATTGGTTGCCTGCAAAGTCGGTATACGGGCGAAAGTTTTACGTGACAACGACTTTGAGTGGTAAAATATTATGTCTGTCTCTCTCGCTCTTAGGCGGGCTAACCATGCCCGAGTGGAAGGGACGCGTGCCTCTCACTCGCTCTCATTGTGAGCGCATAACGTGAGCGGAGCGTAACGCAGTTTCTTGAAGTGTCACCCGGCAAACCAATTTACAAGACGTTGTCACGTCAAAATATGTCTTATTTTAACTCAGGAGACATTTTTTCAACCAATGTGAGCGCTTCATGTCATCTAAAATCGTATCACAAAAACTAAATCTCTGAACGCTGCCATTAACCATAAACACAGAAAAATTAGTAGGTGCTACAAAAAGATACATAACAAATACAGGTCGTGCATTTTTTACAAAATATTATTATTGGTACACTTCGTGTCGAAATAAGTATACACCTTTATAATAGTAATGATAAATTATAAACTAATTTTTACATGTTTTTTATCACCCCTTATTCTTGTACCTATAAAATTTTTACAACGTTTTTATGATGTTTTGATAGGAGACTAGGTAATTGTCTGTTTTTAATTATTTTTTTTAAATAAGCCGTCTAATTTCGTTTATGATATTAATGTACAAATGTGAGCTTAAGATTTAAGAAGGTTTCAAGCCAGCTTGAAACTTAACTCAATTGAGATAAGGCACAACATAAAACTCTTCTTTAAATTATAATTCTAATGAGAAGAGTTTAAGTTTCTATCATTCTCTGCTCTTATTACTAAAGCAATAAAATTCAAAATCAGTTATTTTTACTCTTGCCAAAAATATATAGTGACGGCTGCATCTAGTTAGGTACTGTCTAATCGCAAATGTTGCAAATATTTCTTATTTGGTAAAATATGTCAATTGCATTTAGGTACGTCCTGAAGTTTCCAAAGTATTTAATAATCTGATTGTTTTACCACGGTGATACAAGTCCAATTAATATTACACCTAACATATGCCACGTCTTCACTGGTTGGAATCACATAATTAATTCTCTCTAAATGACTTAAGTACTGATAATATAAAGCATTTATACATTGAAAAAAGCTAAAACTAAAAAGTCGGCATCACATCTCCGGTGACTTATAAGCGGGAACATTATTTTGTAGGTTATATTTTTATTGGTACATCAAAAATATGACTACAAGACACTATTTCGTGGCCGCGAGTATAACTAATCTAGAACTTAAACTATTTTAAAGTATCATAGATGGCTTCGTTGGGATATGTACCATTCAAATGTATGCTGTTGCTAAAACTTAAAGAATTATCTTTACTTAAACAGATTTCAGTTTTCTCTATATTATTGTGATCGTTGTGATTAGGATACTCGTCCATGTTACTTGTTATTTCTAATCTGATCGCGTGGATTTTATTATCTGACTTATTCTTATCTCGTTCCCAAGAATCGATGATGGACACATCGTTCTTACTTCCCATATCATCGATATCACTTGATGTTATACTAGAATTGTCCAAATCGAAATCTGTAGTTTTTTCTATAACGACTACTTCTATATGTCTGAATGGATTTTCTTGATTTTCTATCATCTGTCTCGCTCGCTCGTCGTTTCTAATAATTACTTCTTTCTTAACGTTGCAGATGACGGGGTCTGTTGCCAGTACATCGATGTTGTTGTCATAATTTTCCTCATCACTAGTTTTATTGCCGTTGGGAGTGCAAATCTCTGCGTAAATATTATCGGAGCTCGCGTCAGACTCAACTTTTTCTTCTTCTACATGAACAGCGTCTGCTACTTGCCCGTAGGGTAGATCTTCTATGACTGGTAGCTTTCGTTTTTGTATAGATGATATTGATCTACGGATTTTAACTTGAGTTTGTGGTTCCTCTTCTGAAATATCGATCGCTGTGATATCTTCCTCAATTTCGGACTTAGGAGTTGGGGCTCTAGGTTTATCGATTTTCTTTCTGAAGTTGACAATTTTCTCACTGTCTGCAGATCGTTCGGTTTTAGTCGGCATACTGTTACTGTTGCTACCTTCCTTCTTGTCACTAGACTTCTTAGGATGAAGAAGATTAGAAGTTGATTTGCTTAGTACTCTCTTAGTTTTAACGTGAAACTCAGAGCAAAGTTTTTCTGTAATGAACGAGTGTTGTTTGTAATTAATTTCGAAATCGCTGTCGTTATACAGAGATCCGACGCCAAACATGTTGATTTCTTCACAGCTTTGTATCTGGTTATAAGATTCGGACTTGACCATAGCCTTTTCTGGTATCAAATCTGGCTGTATCCTCTGTCTTCTTTCGAGATTCGTTGATGACTTTGTAGCTGATGATTTTTTGAGCATGTTTTCATCCAAGCTCTTAAGCTTTCTTCCTGAGCTAGCATCACTTTCCATAGAACCGCAGTAGTTAATTTGATCGACGCTGAGGTTTTTGCGGCCGTGCTTCATGTTGATACCGTTATCGTCTTCCGTATATGAATTGTCCGGCATTCCAGTTTGTACGGAGACTGATTTTGTTAATACTGGCTTCTTGTGATTAGAACTGCACTGACTTGTTCCCATGTCTGATGAAGATGTCGTTAAGCTCTTGTATGAATGACTTTTTTCTGCTGTACCATCATTCTTCCTTGTACAGCCGAATCTATCTTCAATTAATTTAGCCATATCTTGGTAGCGTTCTATAGAACTATGTTTCTCGCCTAGAGGATCAAAAGGATCTTTAACATCTCGTAATTTCTCACTATTTTCGATAGCTGTTATTTTTTCGTCAGTAAGCTTCTCCGTGCTCCTTAAAAGTTTTAAGTTTTTAAACCATTTGTTCTTTTTATGTCCAGAATCTTCCCTAAATACTTGCATCTTATCGCTAGAAAACTGTTCCTGTTCAATCTTCTCATCAGTTTTATCATCCTTTCCTTCGTCGTCGCTATAAACGTCGTAGTTCATGTGCTCAAGTTCGTTTTTACTTAAAAATATAATAGAGCCCTCGGTTTCGTCCGGAATGTCTTTCAATACTTTTTCGCTTTTGCCGAATAACCTTGATGTATCAATCTTGAGACCTTGTAGAGTGAATTTTCTTTCCTTTTCAAACTTGACAGGTTCGTGGTCTTCTCTGATGAGGTCTTCGGCCGTTTTCGCTTTTCCGACCACGGTTGAGTTGGCGTAAGAAATCTGCCTGATCCAGTTGTCAACATTAAGTTGACAGAAGGTTAGAGCTTTTTGAAGGCGTGCGGAGAGGAACATTCGTTTCTCGTTTTCGAAACCGAGCTGCGTACGTCGCACTTTGATGGTGCTGTTGAGGGGAAGTAGTTGTAGAGTTTCCTTGGCGTGGTAGCGAGGGTCCACCTGCTTGCTCGGGCTCGAGGGCATCGATCCGTACTCCGGGAGGGTGCACATCACGAGAACTGGTTCTGTTACCGCCGCCCGCAATAGAAGGTCATCTGGAATTAGAAACAGCGCATTTTTAAGTACTTATTTCCACAACAAAACCAAGCTTTATGTTTTTGGTCAATAATTAATTTTTTTTCTCACCTCCAACATCATGTGCCATCTCAATCGGCACGGTCCCTGCCAACAGGCGCACCCTGGTCGGCAGCCGCCATATGCTGAGCAAGTGCGGTAGGCGGTGCGCCCGCGCAGCCACGTCGGGAGCCACCTCCCCGCGTCCTTCCACCGCGGGCTCCCACTCCGCTGGCGACAGCTCCTCCGGGCATACCTCGTATAGTTCTCCTTTAGTATTGATAGGCACGAAGAGCTCCTGTAAAGATATGAGTGCCTGGTAAGTCAAATGAATAAAAATCAACCATTTCCTGCTGGACTTAGAACAAAAAAGAGGTTTGTCATAATCTCCTTGCTTGGCAAATGCGACCGCATTCAAATAAAACAATAAAATTGTCAATTTATATGTATTTTTTACGCCTGACAACAATAGCTATTACTTGACAAAAAGTATTTCAATTTGAACTTAAAACAGGATAATCCCCTTACGATAGAGGTCATTCACTTAAAAAAGGTAACTGGGAACGTTGCCATTATTGAGACTAGCAATATCGTTCCTTGTAAAGCAACTAGCTTATTGTGTGCGTGTTTTATTCCTCTCCATTTATTTTAATGTATTCTCTGTCACGACAAGCGTTATTGTTTATGCTTTTGCACATACCAATATGGCGGGACTTGACACAGGTTTGTGCGTCTGCGATCACTATTTGTGGTAAAAACATTTAATCGTTTATTTGTATTAGTCTCCACAAATCTCGTGTAGGAAGGCTATTTCAAACAATCATGGTCATCAATAAAATATATACGTTTTGTATGAAAGCTCTTTGACGAATCTTCAATTCAATATAATAATGTCATCTTATGGCAAGAATGAATTGATCTTGGAAATTAGTTACTGCTACTCGCCAACAGATGGCGCCACTATCTAAATGATTGAACCAAGGAATAATATAGAACTTAGACAAGGATTTAATCTATTTAGTGATTAGCCAATAATATGTTAATGATGGTTTATGCAAATTTTAATTATGCTTTCTTGTCTTATTGAAGGAGCATAAATCACTTGATTATCAATTGTTATTTACGATGGCGATGGCTTAAGAGACTGTACCTAGCTTGCAATGCAAGTAATAATAACAACCTAGATAAAAACTAGGCTTCATCAAACACAATGGTGCAATTTTAGTCTATCTAGATTTAAATACGGGTTATTACTTAATCGATTCTGGCTGAATGGTAGGTGCGATCTTGTCCATTGTGTGGTAAAAAGTTTAGCGATTGTCTATTGCACTTTGCGCGGGCTGTCAAACTTGTTAGGTTCAGTTACGTAGCCAGAGCCACATTAACATTTTTATTAATTTAGTTTTTGTAATACATGTGACAATACAATAAAGTACGTTCTGTTATTGTGTAATACATGTTCTTATTTATTGTCCTTTATATGTCGAAATAAATCATATTTTATGGCATCTAGTTAACAGCATGTTACGTTCAATTCGGGTTTTCTTGTCGCGTGTTAGTCGAATGATTGCAACAACTACCCAGCAAGAGGTCTCTGCTTTGGTCTAATCTAAGCAATACCTAAGTGTACGTAACTTCGGCGATGGCGACCTCTCGCGTCCGGGCCTAGTGCAGACCATGATGCGGAGCGAGGGGGACTGGGATGCCGTCTCCTCCTTTTGCGAAGCAGTCATGCTAGCTAAGGAGGAGGCGGGACGCGTGAGGCAGCGAAGCGCTGCCTCCTCGCAACCCAGCCATCGCGAAGGACACACCAGGCGTCGGGGATCGCGGGACGATCTCCGGCCACCGTAAGCGCGGGCCTGCGGACGGCGAGCATGGGTGGCTCCCCGTCCGACCAGAAACAGACCCGAGCGTACGGCGCGTCGCGTTCCGCGCGCGCCTCAAAGAGCCATCAGACCACCACAGATGGGGCTCAATAGGGCCGATGCCGATTCGGAGTCGCGGAGAACCTAACGGGTAACCGGGGCTCCGGCTCGACGTGCAGGAGAAGGAACGGGGTGGTTTTTAGTCAGTAAGAGTCTGACACTCCCTTACGCCTCACCCAGGCGGGAGCAGTCATTCGATGATTTTCACCCCTTAAAAAAAAAAAAGTGTACGTAACTGGACTCTTAAAAAAATAAGACAGAATACAAAAAGATGCTACGCTGATAAGATTATCATATCGTATAAAATTTGTCATGAGATGTTATTGCTAGTTTGTATTTAGTTTTTTTTCTATAAATTGATAATACCATGTGTCACACTACCCTCTTTTGTATTTCAAATAAAGTTAATAGGTATAGTACTTGACTTCTCTTACTTCAATATAAAATCGAACATTGATAAATAATTAATTAACATCTATCATGATGTTGACACTATCTATAAACCACACCAGTGTCAGTCCATTTAACACACATTAAAAAATGAACTGAAACATGTTAGTACAAGCCTCATTGACTTTATCGAACGAAAGATTATATAATAAGGAGAATATTAATTTGACACATAATGGCGATAAATAATATTAATGACCAACAATGAAGTAACTTAATCTATTGAATCTAGTGTCGATAGGCAGAACAGGTTGTTGTCATAACTCCAAATAAAGCAACACATTATTATGCTAATCTGTGGTCACCTCGCGCTTTGCTGTCACTTGTTTTGACAGAATGAACTGGTTCGCCTTTTTTAATCTGTTTCATTTTTTGAGTTCACATCACGTGGGGAATAGGTATTAAGATGGTATTAAGTTTGTTCATTGCGTGGTCGCATGAGTATGGTAGTCGAGCTTAGATCTCAGGCTAAATAATCGAATTGATCAAGGTAAAAAACAATATTTCCCATTAAATTAACTGAGATCTCGGGAATTTTAATATATAAAGACAAGGACTATATTCTTACAAGAAATACCTCTATTCTTCTTACAAGAAAAATCTTCTGGGCTACTACTAGGACCCCATTCCTAAAGAGATAGAAAGAGAGTCTCTTCTGAAGACTTCATTTCCAATAACTAAAAAAATTCAGTAAACAAATCCAGCTTCTACCACTGTACCAGGGCAACAGATCATATCAGGAACTGTTTCACAAAATCATACGTACTTCTACATTTCAAGCAAAGTTATAATAGATACATTTAGCTGTACCTGTATATTCCTCCGTTCTTTAATAGGTTTAGAGGAGGTATGCCCTCTGGGTTTCCTTAGCCATCCAGTACTTCATCAAAATCCATTAGGAGTTTTTATTATTATTTAGGAGGGTTTGTGGACTTTAATCTTAAATGGATTATTGTGCAGTGGTATTATTGATAGTAACTTGTCAACGTGATTCGCTTTCTTTAGCTGTGACCGTATAGTCCTATAGAAGTTGTATAGAGCTTTAAAAGTATTATTTTATAAATATTTATTTATTGTAACATTTAAGGAAACGCTGAAAATACGGTAAGTAGATTAGGATTAGGTATCTCTGGAATTCGCAAAATCAAAATATAAATAATATCAGAAAAGAGTATGCTATCATACTCTTTGGAGTATAGTACCGAGAAATATAACAAAAAGCTATGCTGACGTGCCGTTCTATCAAAAAACTGTCATTCCTCTTCTGATTCAAATCATCTATAAATTTTCACAAAGTAAAAATACATTAAATAATATGTCCAAAAATACGTCGTACCCGGAAACGTCTCACAGCTCTCCCAATCCAGAGCAAACGAATAGAGATACATCGAGATATGGACACAAACCTAAGTACGAAAATATATACAACAGACTTAAAACGTACAAAAGTATATCTAATAGAGACTTTAAAAACGTATGCAAAAGCATAATATCGAGCAAGGGTATATCTGGAAATACAAAGCAAGGATCACACTTGACCAGTAAGAACAATCCAGAAAACTTGCCTCCATTCAACTGGATCGCCGAGGCTAAGATCTACAACCACAACTACTTGAAGGTCCCCCCAGAATGGATCACCGACGGCGTCGATATCATAGTGTTGAGTTTTTCTTTGCGTGACATAGACAGGCCTGATAATATTATGGAAACGTTCTATGAGATGTATGAGAATGCGCGTTACATCAACCTGCCTATAGAAGTAATTAATGTCCCTATGGACGATAATAAGCAGGACATGTGCATCAGCTACGACGACCAAGCCAACTGGTTCACTCTCATGTTTAATGACCCTCTAATAATCATTCTTCAGTACATCTATGGTGTAACCTCTCTTCCTCATCTTGTAGTGTTGAAAACTGACGGAACTGTGGTCTCCGCTCATGGGATATCAGATATAGATGCGTACGGAAAGAACGCCTTAATAACTTGGATGTCCACGTCAGCATTGAGTATTCAGCCTAAAAGGGTAAGTAAGGAATTGCAAATGTTTGGTCCTAACTGGAGATACTTGAGTATCGGTGCTGGGGGAGCTCCCAAAAGAGACATTTATCGAAAAAAACATGCTAGGAAGCATGCTAAAGGGCGACACAGCTCCGTTACTAGGCGTCATGGGACACGATCTAAGAAAGAAAAAGAACAAGGAGTGCCTCATGAAAAGGCACCTAGTGGGTCAGCAAGCGACAGAAAGGAAGAGACAAAGAATTAACTTCTTTGATAAACATGTGTTCCTAGTACCACGTTGATAAAGGCTGTACTTGGATTATTTTTATATTTTAGTTAATTTCTTAAACATTTGCTTATTGGACAATATTTCAACTTTTTTAGCTCCATATGAAGTGTTTAAGATTAATTTACATTTGTTTAATAACGGCTTAATTGTTATTAACCTTAATTTATAATTAATTTTTAATTTAGCTTAGCTGCTAATTTTAATGTTTGTTTGCAAGAAATTAAATTATCAATTAAATTTTCATTATTTTTATAGTATGGACTAATTGGTCGTCGTTATTGCATCTGTCTTCGTCCCATATTGGATCATGATCGCTATTACTGAAAATATCATAAATCGATGCACTAAGGCCTCTGCCTCGAATTTTGCGGGCAGCGGGGCGGCGGCGGCGGCGGCGCGGGAGCGGCAGGATCTTATGCGTAAAATCGGTGCACTCTAGTCAAGCAGTGCCAACCGCGCCACCACCGCCGCCGCCCCGCTGCCCGCAAAATTCGAAGCAGAGGCCTAATAAGTTTTAATAAATCTCAATCATAAAATACTTTATTTTATTAATATTTCAATTAAACAATAAGCAGTAGATACTACATTAAAATTAAAAATACAACGAATATCTTGATAATAATATGAGATGCATAGCGTAACTCCTAAAACGAGAATTAAAAACTTACCTAAAATTAATATATTTATTTATAATTAAAGATATTCATAATGATAAAAATTATAAACAAACAATATGGAAAAGCTAAAAACCTACATAACAATGGACAGTTGCTGTCTGTACTAGAGAGACAGATAAAGCAAAGAGGTAAAAAGCAAATGAGAGCTATTAGACAGGTTTTTCATATACATTAGGTGCAGTAGGCAGTATAACACCCAAAGTATCAGGTGCGCTGGACTTTGACAGTCGTAAAGATAAACCAATTGACGACGGCTTGCGGCGCTCTAAACCCTTACTAAACTTCCTTATGTAATACCGTTTCTTAATATTACCTACTCTAATAGTAATATATCTCCATTTTTGTCCAAACATTCTCTTGACGCGGCTGAATCGCTTCGGAGGTATTGAATTGGCCGTTGGAGACAGCCAAGTCATAAGGGCATTCTTGCCGTACCTTTCAATGTCCATGATTCCATGACTGGAGACTAGTGTGCCATCTGGTCTTATCACAACAAGATGAGGGACGCAGGTGACATCGTACATGTAGAGGAGAGTAAAGATGAGAGGATCGCTGTACATGATAGTGAACCAATTCGCTTGTTCATCGTAACTCATGCACATGTCCTCGATATTTGAGTCCAGAGGTACATTGATGACTTCTATAGGAAAGTTCATAAACCTAGCGTTTTCATACCATTCGTAGAAGTCATACATGATGTGTTTCTTGTCCCGGTTGTTTAGTGAGAAATACAGGACGATGACATCGACTCCCTGTCTGAGCCACCAACTTGGGATCTTCTCATACTTGTGGTTGTAGAGTTTAGCGTACTTTAACCAATCGAAGGGAGGCAGGTCGAGTGAGCATCCTTCCATTATCTCTATAATTAGTTGGCTTCGATGATAGTAAGATCTTTAAATTGGTTTTGATTCCGTAATTGTTTTGGTTCGCTGATTTTTTCTGTCAGACAAATTATAAATTAAAAAGTCAGTTTCGAATTGTACTTCTTCAGAATTTTATGTCATTTCAAAATCATGTCGTTATTTTTATGTAAACTTAAATAAAAATTATACAAATTATAATGGACAAAAACTAATAGGCAGTAAGTAAATATTTCTCACGCCTAATTAAAAAATTTGGAAACTTTTGAAAATAAGAAAATTCAATGTAGTTTGGACGTAAACGACTTTTCGAAAGCCACGCCAAAAATACAACAATTTTTATAAATAAATAGACAATCTGACGTTGTCATTTCTATAATTTCATTCATTTTTGTAGGAGTGATTTGTATTTTTGAGTTAATTTTACAAACAAGTAATAAACCATGTCTGTAAACAAGTACAGAGCACAACAGTTAAATAAACACATTTCAATTAAAACGCCTTACAATAAACATAAGAGGACCAAGAAATGGTACGGTACAGAGGACCCAAGCAAACTACCACCGTTCAACTGGATTGCAACTGCCAAGATTTACAACCACAATTACGAAAAGGTACCAATAGAATGGTTGCTGGACAGTACTAATATCCTGGTACTATACTTCTCCATGCGAGACAGCGATAGGAGTGACAATATCATGTCACAATTCTACGAATTCTATGAAAACGCGAGATTTAAGAATCTGCCCATAGAAGTTATCAATGTACCCATGGATGAAACCAGAGAGGACATGTGCATCAGTTATGCGGAACAAGCTAACTGGTTCACTCTCTTGTTTGGTGACCCTATTAGAATCACTCTTCAGTACAAACATGGGGTCACATCTGTTCCTCACCTTGTAGTAACACGTCCAGATGGCTCCATGGTCTCCAGTCATGGAATTTTGGACCTTGACGAGTTTGGAAGAAACGCATTAATTGCTTGGCTATCAGTAGCAGCACATACCAAGCAATCTAAGAAATTGAGTAAAGAAACGAAGATGTATGGACCGAAATGGAATTATTTGAACGCAGGAGTCGGGAAGGCGAAGAAGCCTTACTATAAAAGACATTTTAGTACAGGAGGGCACACCCCTTCTACGGTTTTAGATGTAAATGACGTAAATACGTTAGTGGAAAAGGCTTTAAAAGCTAAGGAAAAGCAAGATAAAGAAGAGCAAAATATATGACTACTTGTGATACATGGAATCCTGGTACCGATACAGTTTGCAAGTTATTGTACCATAATCTTAATGTTAGCTGGTATATTCATTTTCATTAACATTGGGCAAATGTTTATACACTATTACAATCGGATTTTGAATAGCGTTTTTTTCTTATTTTGTTTATTTGTTATTAATGTTTAACGCCATTTTAGATCATTCTAACGCTTCTTAGTTTAGTATTTAATCCTTGGTTGTTTATGTTATTACATACTTATGTTGAATGCATACATTTATTTTATTAATAAACGTTTTTGTTCAATATGTTGAGATTTTTATTGACATACATACATAACTTCACGCCTCTCTCCCATGGGGGTAGGCAGAGACTATGGAACACCAATTACTACGATTCCTACTGTCCTACATACCTCTGTCGCTTAAATTTTTTTTCTATTATACTTATTTCTATTTTTATTTCTGAAACAAAAAAATTACAATGTTAGAAATATACTTTTTTGATCCCAATTAAGAGTTGTATCTAGCTACTGACTGTAATTAATAAACACAGAAGGGTTTCGAAACTGCCCTAACTAATATTATTACGGTCGTGATAGTGAAGTGTAAAGTACAAGGAACCCATGACATGCCTGTAGGTAAGCAACAGGTGCAGCTAATTACATTGTCATTCTCCAAGCAGCCAGTCGCATGGCCAGCATGCATTATGAGTAAATACACTACCGGAGATAAATATTAATTGAATGTCTCTGCTGTTCATGCGCTCCTGGTATCCGAGTGCCAGTACAGCTTTGTTTTAGTTTGTGAATTTCTCTGGTTAACCAATTTGGAAAAAGGGTGGTTATAGGTTATATATCATTGGTTTGATTTTTGGTTAAGAAAAAAAATTTAATTCGAAAAAAATGTGTCATTTCTAAAAATGCGTACGAGCAAATGGATTATTTTTTCTTCCTTACAGAAATTTAAAACCGATGGTTATAATAGGCCACTACTGTAAAAAAATATATTAAGGTCTCATGTTTGATTCCCGTTCCTCAAATAGTCATTTTTAACGTGCCAAGCCTTAAATCGAATATAACGGTTTCAATCTAAACATTTAGACACCATTTGAGAAATAGTTCTATCTTCGAGTAATAGATGACCGTTCTAAGAGACCCCTAACTGCGACAGATTGATGGTGTCTACGACCAACTAATGGGACAGTCTTAATTATTATTTGCGGTAAATAAATCAAAGTGGCGAGTGGTTTATTACATTTTGCCCGAGTCGAGTCGGGATCATTAATTTCACGTCCGACTTTAACCTTAGTTGAAATATTTTTAATTGTAGATTTAGCAGGATACGAAACATAGCAATTTTAAAGATGTTCTCGTTTTCAATAAACATTATTGGAACAACTTTTATTATTATTTTTATAAATATTTTACGGTTTTTAAATAACTAGGCTGTATGGTCGTGGTTCTGAACAGATATAGTTATGCTACTCCCCACTAGATGGCGTTAAACACTTCCTCAAATTCATCAACAGAGGTCGCTGTACTGAAGTTTAAATAAACGTCTTTTCAAATGCAAGTGCCTAAGATTTTCCATTAAACTGCCAATTACCATGAAAATTTATAGTTATAGTAATAAGTTACTTAGAACGTTAGGGGAATTAACATTTGTGTAAGTTGCATGCAAAGTGTATGGGTAAGGACAAATGGTATGGTCGCTTCCCGCTCCTAATGCACAAGTGCACGTTCACACTTAGGCTTTTGTTAGAGTTTAGTGGCATGAGTCAAGTTTGTTATGCGTGCAAAGAAACAAAACAAGAGTTATAAGTTGTCACACATCAACAGCTTTTAAGTGGCCACTGCTAACCAAAGGCCTCTTCTCACGAGGAGAAGGATTAAGGGTTGGCGATTACAAACTTTTAATTAGAAATTATAAGTCCAGGTTTCCTCACGATGTTTTTCTTCACTGTTTGTCAGTGGTGTCTAGATAATCTTAGAAAGTCGTACGTATTGCAATTGGTATTAAGACCTAGAATCCTTCCATCAAGGCTGTGAACCTTAGCCTTAATCTATATTCGGAGTCGCGGACAACCTAACGAGTAACCGGGGCTCCGGCTCGACATGCACGAGAAGGAACGGGGTGGTTTTTAGTCAGTAAGAGTCTGACACTTCCTCCCGCCTCACCCAGGCGGGAGCAGTCATTCGATGATTTTCCCCCCTTAAAAAAACCCCTTACTCTATCGACCTACCGATTTACGTAGAAAGATAATTTCAGTAAAACTTTACCCGATTCGGGAATCGAACCTGAGAACTACACTCGACTCATACTTGCTTCCATAAGCTAGATAACATAATTATACATGCGTGTTAATGCAAGAATTGTGCATAGATCGTAAACTCCTCGTATAAAAGTACCAGGAAAGCATAAATTAATAGCAGGTAGCGATTAATCCATTTTATAGTCGTTTCATTCATGTTTGTACATATTTTATTTATAGCTGGATATGGTGGAAACATAAACGTTACTAGGTACTTCTCACGTAGCTACACGAATCTAGTATAATAAAAAAATATAGGTATACAAATCAGCATAGTTCAATTGTGTACTATCCTTAATTAAAAATAAATTATTTCGACTGTTCAATACAATAAAATATAGAAAAATAAGGCCTCTTTCATTAATTGAATTTATGACCAACTCAATTTTATTATTTTTTAAGAAAAGGTTACTGTTTTACGCTAAAAAACGTGACGTCACAATACACAATCTCGTACAAAATTCATAGAAAACTGTCGTTTTTAACAGACAGTTTGAAAAAAGTATTGAATTTGACTAGTTGGCAAATACCCAATGTGTAGGTAATTTTGTTTTTATCGACTTCAAAAAAGGAGGAGGTCCAAAAAAAGAAGTTTCAAATATTGTTTTTTTTTCTAGGATAAGGGAGTAAACAAGCCGACGGATCACCTGCTGATGTGTAATCAGCAGCGTGCAGCGCCACCTATGGACACCCGCAACATCAGAAGTGGTGCAAGTGTGTTCCTGGCCCACGAATATGATGAAGGGCGGAGGGGTTGGTTGGTAAAATGTGCACCAATGGGACCAATAGTCCAATAATGAGAGGTTGCCATAATTCCCACGCTTGGCAGGCGGCGTGGCCTCCCTGTAGGTGGAAAGACGACATCGCCAGAGTTACGGGGAGCCAGTGGATGCAAGTAGAAAATTGTCGTTCGACGTGGATGACCAAGGGGGAGGCCTTTGTCCAGCTGTTGTGTCCGGCTGTTGATGATGATGATAGTCCAATATTAGCACAGGTACAGTGGCGTTACTAGACGTAACCATACCCTTCAGGGCCCGTGGCAAGTTCATCAGATAGGCCCCCGTTTCCAATAAAAAACAAACAATCTCAGATTAAAACCTCTAATCGAGGGCTCCTTCCAATTGGGGGCCTATGACATTTTACCATCTTGCTACACTGTAGTTTCGCCACTGATAATAAAATACCTGGCATCACCAATGCTGTATCCCTCTCTTGCTCATAAAATAATGGAGTCACTTAAATGGAAAACTTTCAATAAAAACCAAAATGACAACATTACAAACATCTTCATCTGACCTCGTCACCACAAAAGCAATTGTTATTTACTACCTAAGAACCTGCAAACAACTATAATTTACAACTTTCCCATACATTTGACACAATCACAGCTTTCGTTTGAAATCACGATATTTTTCTCACCAAATAATGATACCACCTTTATAATCTAGTAAACTAGTAAACTACCACAGTTTCGAAATGTCTAGCTAAATAATTCTACGTTTAGAAAAACCGACTTCAATTCAACCCCTATTTTTTAAACCGGTTAATTAATATACTAAAATCCTTCTCCTAAGTGTAAAAAACATTGTCGCGGAGAACCTAACGGGTTACCGAGGCTCCGGCTCGACGCGACGTGCAGGAGAAGAAACGGGGTGGTTTTTCGTCAGTAAGAGTCTGACACTCCCTCCCGCCTCACCCAGGAGGGAGCATTCGACAATTTTCACCCCTTAAAAAAAGTGTAAAAATCATTTTGCTGAAAACCGCATCGAAATCGGTTCAGCAAATCGCGTGATAATCGCGCACACACATATGGCACCCTTGTTTGCCACATCTCACACCACCTAAATTAAATACGTACCTCTTATTAGGTAGCTTATGAGCTCTGCCTTTCTCTTCATGGACTATCAGGTGTTATGTTTCTGTTCTGTCTAAGGTAAGTCTATTTGGTGTCACTACTGTTGTCACTTGCCGTATGTAAGTGTGTTTGAACGTCTACTTCTCAAAAACAACTGAACAGATTTAGATGAAGTTCAACACAAAGATAGACCATGGCCTATATTTAATTTATAAGGTTATTTACCCTATTTATTTACTTGAGCGAAACCAGGCGAGCAGCTTTATGAATCATAATAGTTGAATAAAAAATAAATAAAAATGCATTATTAACTCTTGAATTCTTATTAAAGGGTTTGAGAGACAGAACAAGATGTTATGGGTCATAACCATCACCTGTCAATTAGTTTTGACTAACTCATTATCAACTTTAACTTTATGATCCTAGAGCTGTTGTTTTCACATTGGAAATTTTTCTTAATTCATTGGTATTCCATCACAGTTTTTATAGTCACGATTTGATTACACCGCGTCGACGACTGACCATGGTTTATTTTGTATTCCCTATGCATCGAACCAACTAAAAATACAATTTTAAATATGCACTCTATCAACTACACTACCATTCAATATTGACCCTAAAACGAATAGAAATAAAGCTTATGCAATTTTTATTCAACCGCACAATGATGTGCAATTTCAAATCCTGTTCGACATAATTAATATTGCGTTCTGCAAAATAAAATTCAAATGATTTAGAACACAGTGTCAAGGGAATAGGTGTTATATTGAAGTTTCTTGAACGCATAATTAGGTTGTTTTCTAGTCAATGCTAGTCTGTCGCTCAACTTTGAACCTTATATGGAAGGCAGACGCATAGTTATGATCTGTGTCAATTGCCCGTTATAAAGAAATCTAACTTTTTCTTATAACATTCATTTATTTTGTAAAAAAGCCCTTATGTTATGTAGAATACAATTCATATTTGATCTTTACTAATACTTAGTCTGGTCTATAAAGGGTGTAAATAACTTAATTTCATTTTAAAAGGACACTTTATCGTGAATGGATGTTTTAATACATAATACTGTAGTATAATATTTTTCTCACACTCATTATATTTAGTTAGTTAGAGGGTAAAATAAATAGAGCTATTATTATTATTTTTTATGAAGTAACCCTGTCGCTTAGTTATTTTTCTAAACTATAATAGAACTATAATACCTATAAGTGTCATCATGCGTCTATTTTACGGTTGAGCCTCGTAACTGTTTTACGAGTTCACTCGACTAGTTTCAAGCCACGATGGGGGCTCATATCATAATATGGTTTTCTTTAGACTGAAGTGTGAAGTGCACTTATTAGGTTTAGTATTGCACTTCTACCTACTCTTTATAATTAGGAGTGGTCCTAATACCAGACACTATTCTAGACAACATACTATTATTCACTGAAAATTATAGTAAGAATCGTAAAGGATTATAAAACAAGAAACACCAAAATTACTTCATCAGTCTAATACAAAGAGCGATACAGACACAAATTCTATACTGTTTAACCATATCCACCTAATTTGCAATCATTACAGCACTTCAAACCGTCTAGAATCATCTAGATTCTAGATAAACGTAAATACTTACATTTGAGTACTAAAACACACTAGCGTTGAATTTTCTCACTGCGATAACAATCTTTAAATAACGGATTCCATACATCTTCATGAAACTTAGTACTTATGCAATTTTGGGGTAGAGACCTCTTTAAAATTTCTGATTGCCTGGTAAGTTTGTGGCGAGACGGCTTCCGATTAGCCGATCTTGGGAATCATTGGGGCAGGTCCTATGTTCAGCGGTGGACGTCTTATTAGGTCGCATCACCATGGTGATGATTATATTATATGACTAGCTATTGCACCCGACTTCGTCCGCGTAAAAAATGAATTTTAGATCATAACTTCTTTTTGTTTCAATTTGCCAAAAACAAAGTAGCCTATGTTACTCCTTAGTACATCAGCTACATATCAATAAAAATCTTGCAAAATCGGTCCAGCCATTCCAGAGATTAGCCAGTACAGACAGACAGACAGAAAAATTAAAAAAATGTTATTTTAGTATGTGTATCGTATTTATGTATGGGAGAGCCATGCTCGAGTGACACCACGGCCTCACAGAAAACCGACGTGAAGCAACGCTTGCGTTGTATTTCTTCGTGTGAGTGAGGGTACCGGAGGCCCAATTACCCTCCCCTTCCCCAATCTCCCCAATTCCTGAATCCCCAACGATCCTCAAACTCCTAATCCCCAAAAGACCAGTAACGCACTTGTAACGCCTCTGGTGTTTCAGGTGTTCATGAGCGACGCCGATTGCTTACCATGTGGTGATCCGTCTGCTCGTATCTAAATATATCCATAAGTTTGTAATAAAAAGCGGTGGTTTTAATATTACATCACACAGCAACTTAAAAAAAACACAAAATTCATTTACCACCTAGACTACCTAGGTACAAGACAACATATAGTACCTACCTAAGTATATTCCTAGAACATAGACATGTATCCTATTAATCCAGCGTGTGTCGGTTGTCCGGCTGTCCGACCTGTTGTCCGTCCCGGTCCGCACATAATTAAACTTCTCATTATACCATAAACAAAAGTTGCGCGCGCGCATCATTTTTCGCGAACTTTCTATTAGGGTTGTCGGTGTTGAGTTGATTGTGATTGTGTATGAGAAATGTTGTGTACAGAAATGTCAAATATTAAGGAAATAGAACAAAATGACACATTACGCTTGGTTTTATTGGGTTATTCAAGAGCCAGGTTATTAAAGATACGTATTGTCTAAATATTTTAAAAATGTGATAAGTTTTACAATTTAGTGACTTGACTATAAATGGTAGTGTAATTTTATTCGCTTAGATAAATTGCTAAGTGATTAGATGCTACATAAAAATTGGGGTAAATAATAAATTATTAATACCTAGGTACTTATCGAGTCAAGTCGCTAACAAAAGCTAGTACCTACTTTTATTAGTACCTTCACGAAAGATCGAATATCCAATACGTCATGTTTAAATATTATAGTTGTTCGGAGATCATAAAAGTCTATACTTCACGTAATATCTGAGCGCAGTCCTGTTCTCAACGTCAAACAATAATTTTACTTCAGCCAATAAAAATCAAACAAAACAAAGGATTCATTTCGAAATCGTGACAACCCTATACGAACGTCCTAGCAACACGGTTCACCGAGGACACTGCCCCGCGACGCTACGACTTACCAACATAACTTTGCACTTGAAAACACCTTATTTCAATACCATAAGCCCTATTTTCCCTTAGTTAAACTCCTAGAATAAACTTGCTAGGTTCCATGCATTCCATTTAGAAGTACTGCGGTTTTTCTCGACTTTATAGCTCAGAGGTTAAGGTCGTATTTCGCTTGTTGAGAACAGGTTAATGTCAGATCTTTACTGTCAAGATCCTGTGGCGTGTTACTATGGGTTGTCGAACAAAAATAGACAAAGAATTTAATGTTCTTTCGAGTGTAAAGAAGGCTTTTCTCTCTTCTTTTCTTATTTTTTCTTGTATAATCCTAGTGTTCGCGATTGGATATTTCAGCTTCAATACAATCATCGTATTAGTATTTTTAGCTGTGTATAATTTTTAAACGAATGGTATATACTTTAACGTTATTAGACTGAGATATTGAAAGCTCTTCATTTTTATGCGCTCCTGGTACTTGTTTTAATTTCCTTGCGTTCAAAACGGACTTTTTAAAAATAATTGTAGGTTTAATTTTTATTGTAAGATTTCATCTTCGACAGCAGAATGCTAAGTCATAGGCTCTGTATCCGAATGACAAAATAATTATCATCATCATCAACAGCCGAAAGACCGAAAATGATTTTGACATACAATAACGAAAAAAAAATTGATTCTAGATCCACATTTGGCGACTTCACCATAATCTGCTCATTCGTTTAGGAGATGAACGCTATCAACCAACAAGAAAAACCGACTACTGTTTAACTTTACCCACTTATCTTTATTGATTAATATAGGGCCGATTTATCAGTTATCAGTTAATTCTTGACTAAAGAATAAAATTGATATTTGACAGTTATTAGTATGGAAGAATTATCAAATATTAAAATTTATTCCTCTGATAAAATTTAACTGAGCATTGGCAAATCGGCCGTTATTGTAATACTTAAATAGAAATTAAATATAACTATACACTAATAGGCCTGTATTATCTGAATATGTATAGCAAATTGTAAAATATGTGTGGGAATGGAGGTTCTTGCTCGTTCTTCTCCATAGGAATTCATTAGAACGAGCTTCACTAGAGGACTGACAGACTGTCATTTTTTTAATATTTCAATATTTTGTTTTGACATTCAAAAGGGACTTCCTGAGGCCTTAGTTTAGTACGAGTTTGATTTACGTGTAAAGTATTCGAAACGAGTACGCGTTCGGCGCTCTGATTGGCCGGTGCCAATGAACCAACCAATCAGAGCGCCGAACGCGTACTCGTTACTATTACTTTAAACTCGTACTAAGGCCTCTGGTCTAATTGTAATAAATGATTTTGACTTTTGACTTTTGAAATTAACTTGCAATAGTACACCATATATACATGTATGAAATGCAAAGTGTTGAAGATGTATGTTCAAATTAAAAACTTGCAATAGGATAGGTACACCATATATACGTACTTATGTATGAAATGCAAGCTGTTGAAGATGTATTATTAATTCAAAGACCGAGGTATTTTCAGATAGCTAGGTATCTTTACAAAGACTACACAAACTATGAAAACAATTAAAAATCAGATAGATTTACATCTAAGTAGTCTTGCTTACTAGAAGATAACTTCAAGGCAATTAACTGACCCATGTCCTTCCTTAATCTTCCAACTATCCGCCACACTGAGTTGCATCAAGTTCTACCCAGTATCTAGTCTATATATATAAAAGAAAGTCGTGTTAGTTACACCACTTATAACTCAAGAACCGCAGAATAGATTTGGCTGAAAATTGGTAGGGAGGTAGCTTAGAGCCAGGAGACCGACATAGGACTTTTTGACCAAATTTTTTTTTACTTTTTACCGAAAATCGGGGACGGGAAAAAATGGGATTACGCGTACGAAGTCGCGGGCAGAAGCTAGTTTCCATATAAAAACGTAACACACGAACAGACTCACAATAAACCTTCAATGAATATGGACAGACGGACGGACGGACAAAGAAATACAATAAATCCTTATTAAATAGCCCTTAAGATAGACTTTATCTGAAGAAAAATAATCGCACACGTAATTATATACGACAAAACGTCTCATCAATCTACTGGGAACGATTAATCGTGGACTGTCGAAGAATATAGAAGAGCAATACCTGCAATTTTGAACCTTGTTACAGAAGTGTAAAAGTTTGTAATCTATTGAGAAAATTTGACACTCTCCTACAATTGAAGGTAGTAAAGTATAATTAGGTAATTTTAATCCTTATCACATAGATGAATAAAGTTGATAATGTATTGAGAAAATTTTACAGTCTGGTATAGTTTGAGAACACTTTAGTAGAAGAGAAAAATTAACTGCAATTAATTTTGAACCTTATTGCAAAACTATAAAGTTGATAATCTATTACAAAGCTTAATAATTTTGTATATTGTCATACTAGGCTTTCTTTTTTAATAATTTTTTGTGCAATAATTAACCTTATGGTTTTGATTATAAGGGCGGTAGATAAAGTTAAGTTGCGGGTTTTTATCTCTCAGATTGGTGGGTTGGTTAATTGTAGTATATCTACCTATCTATAATTAAGTACCCTAGGCATATAAGGACACAATAGCGACTAACGACTTGCAACCCTATAATGGGGCCTACCATATCTTTTTGCTCATCAGATGGCGCTAGTGTGCGCCTCTCGTTCAACATCCAATAGGGAATTAGGTAGTATCACACCATTGGCCGTTCAACATTTGACAGCTGTAGTGATTGACAAAAAATCCTCTAGTTACATTAGCGCCATCTAGTGACGAAAAATACACTAACCCCAGTATAAGCCTCTCTTTCTTCATCCAATAGAGAATTAGCTTGGGCACACCAATGGACGTTCAAAATTTGACAGCTGCAGTGATTGATTAAAAAATCCTTTTGCTACATTTGCCCGAGTGAGGAAATATACACTAGCCCCAGTGTGCGCCTCTCGTTTTTCATTCAAAAAATAATTTTCTTGTGTCACATCACACCATTGGTCGTTCAAAATTTGACAGCTGCTGTGATTCGACAGAAGAATCCTTTTGCTACATTTGCGCGCCATCTAGTTAGCAAAAATACGCTACACCCCATTTTCTAACAACATTCAAAAATTTAAATCATTTCTGACAGTGTCATCAATCGCTACCCGCTTCAAACTTACACCACAAGATTCATTACTCCACCATCCAATGAAATCAATGTAACTCCTGTCCGTCGACTTAAGGAGACAGCTTTAAAGTCTTTAGGTAACCTATTACAGTATTGTGTGCTAATTATATTTTGTCACTAATTCAATTGGAGCATTCATACTCATAAACATGGCGGCCCAGACACATAATTCTCGTGTCCATTTAAATATCGAATTAATGTTGTATTGTTTGTCGAAGGCGATAGATGGCGCTGTAACGGTTCTTAATTAGATGTTCGTTGTGATTATCTTTTTCGTTGCTAAATACATTAACGTGATATTTTTCTTCAAAAAGTAGTATTTAGATAGTTGTTTGTATAGACGACAATCTTGATATTAATACTAACATAATTCTGTCGCTAAGTCTTGATTTTAAATCTTGCAGCCCCAGGTTTCACTGACTGCTTATAATAAGCATGTAGCCTTATGACTGTTATGTAATAAAAAGAAATTTAATTTGCTAAAAAGCAATAATACATAACATCACGCGTTTTATCCCCGAAGGGGTAGGCAGAGGTGCACATTATGCCACTGTACAATGTAACACCCACTTTTCACTATTTATGTTATGAGTCCCATGTAATAGGGGTGAGCCTATTGCCATATACCGGCCACATTTCCAGACTCCGTGCTACTACTGAGATTTTTTTTAAACCCAGTACTACTTTGCCTGACCCGGGAATCGAACCCGAGACCCCTTGCCCGGTAATCGCACTTGCGACCACTCGGCCATCGAGGCAGTCCTAGAAAGCAATAAATATTACCTAAAAGTAATACATGAACTACCTTCCACCACCTAGGAGATGATACGACACGAAAACCGCTCTACAAAACAACTATACAAAAAATGTACTCACGTTCCCCTGCGGATCGATGAGCTGAGCATATTTCGGCGCCTTAGCCTTGCTGCCGTCTGCGAACACGCCTGCGAGGCGCAGCGGCGTGCCGGGCCGCGCCGCCGCACGCTCGTACTGCGCCCCTACACGCCCGCTCTCTGTGGGACCATACCTTATGTTAGGTGGTATAAAAAATAGTTTTTGTTGAAGGAACTACAATCTGTATGATCTAGTCTCTGAGAACCGAGAATAGATAAGTAATTTTACGTCTGTGACACCTATTTACTTGAAAATAAATTGGTAATTCTCAGAATCCAGATCAATCAATCTAAGGTATTCTTTTTATATCGAAATGATGAACAATTTGACGCATTTTTCAGGAAATGTGTTAAAATATGCGTCACTTAAGCTAACAGTACCTTAATCAGACCATGATCAGACAATGTCACAGACAACACAGACCCAAGATATAAGTGTATAATTATTTTTATGCAATAATGTTGTTGCACTCACCGGAGGCCGGTCGCGCTCGGTACGCAGATATGGCGCGCGGCGACACGAGGGCGAAGGCTCGCGCCCGCAGCAGAGCAGAGATGGAGCCCCGTGGTGATGCTAGGGCTCCGCCCCGACATCCACACGCTGAGAACCAACCTGGAGACAGAAAAACATCGCTTAGTACAGTCACAGACAATTTTCACCAATTAGTTGTTCTACTCGCCGCTAGATGTCGCTAGTAGTAGTAACGGGTTAAGTAACCAATGACTCCAGGCTCTGAGTACGGCGGTAAGTCAACGACCAACGATGGATAGTTGATGGGTAGATACGTAATTATGTTTTAACAAATTACATGAAATGACCAGCAGCTGTTCTATAATATACAGGGTGGAATTTTGTACTGCTAACTGAAGGTGAAGGTGAAAATAAGTACTTTAAGTGTTTTAACCATTGAATTAATAATTAAAGATTCATTGTTTTCTTTTCATTCAATTTAAGAAGTTTATTAAAGAAATGTCATCCTTATTGAGCCTAACGATCGATGCAATAAAAGTACAGGATGCAACTTTTACAGATTTTAGTCGATTCGACCAACATGCGGCACGCGAGTTTTTAAAAATCTATGATCACCGTTTTCTTTCTTTTAAAATAAAGGAATGTTTTCTTTAATTAAAATTTTCTATCTAAAGTATTAAGAGTACTCCCTTTATGTGGCATTACATAATTCCACCCTGTATCTATTCTTACCTAGTACTTATACTATATACATATTGGTAGGTATGTATGTTCTTTTCCAGACTGGACTGAAGAAAAAGTGTAACAGTTTTACGACCTATAATACCCAAAGGTTAGGGATGGTACTTCGTATGTGGTACACCGCGCACCGCAAAATTGCTCGTTTTTTACAACGTACGATAATGTGGCTAGATAAAAGTGAATTTCTTGATAAAAGCGTTGGCAAATTGCTGACAGTATCGTGGTATTGTTTTTAGAACAAAATATTTCATTTACCAACTTTTAAATTTTAATAAAAACGCAGCTCTTTCGTGAATGTAATACCTACTGGGTTTTTAAAAAATCTTAGTACTAGGTAGCACGGAGACCGGACATGTGACCGGTAATAGGCTCACCCCCTATTACATGGGAGTCATAACATAAATAGTGAAAAGTGGGTGTTACATTGTACAGTGGCATAATGTGCCGTAATGTGTGTATTCCGCGTGTAAGTCTATAGTAGCCAGGTGCCACAGTCGTTGTTTCAAGAGACTGTGTCCGACTTTTTATAAGTTCATGAGACAACCCTATCCATCCGACACTGGCTGCAAGTCTGCGACTCCTATGCCATTAAACTGTACGAAATAAAAAAAGTATAAAAATAGTGAAATGTCACGCGAAGTCGTTTACCACGACGTAACCCTTGTAACGCCGGCCGCTTGCTCTGACGTAATTAAAGGTCGAGTTTTAACCCTGTGAACGCCGCTGTTTATGAGACTGGCTTTAGTTTTTGAAAGATGACTCTTTGTTTTTGTGGTGAGGTAAGTTTTATAAACTGATTGTTTTTGTAGGTCTTATGTCTACATACGGTATAATAAAATTGATGGAAATCATTTTGTAGTGGAAGTAGAAACCAATAGATAGAAAATGTGGCCTGTTAAGGAACATCGTAACGACATTTTGTTAATTTATTATTATCTATCAAAGGCCCGAAGCTAACTGCGACTGCGCAGAGGCCCTTTAGACAACTTTAATCTAAATGTACCTAATGGGCATACAAACCGGCGACTATTATTATTAGTGAATCAAAACGGTGAAAACTGAAGGAAAGTTTCAAAAATTTAACCTCCGTACTTCATTAAACCCAAAAATCTAACCTTGTTCGGCATTCAGCCTATCACCAATACGGCCTAAAAATACTAAACTTTAAACGTCGCAAATAAATAGCATAGTATTGCAGGCCCCGAGTGTCGCACACCCCATGCTACCAGGGGCCCATGAACTCCGCACGATAACAGCAGAGTCCACATAACGCGGTTGTTAGCTGGGACGGTACAAAAACGCCCTGACATGAGAACCACTCTCACTTACATAGACTTGGTAATTTATAGAGAAGCCTGTCGCTGTGTATTGTGTAGTAATTTATTTTGGTTAATTGGATGTTTGTTTAACTATAACATGTTTTTTTTATAACAACAATATCTATGTTTTATTCACTTTTTGTTAGTTGATTTTGTCTCTCATAAAGGGGTAGAAAAGAATTGGTACCTGAGAATTTACTTTTCAATAATGTGCTGTAAAGAAATCTATAATACAATTTATTGAAACACATGAAAAGGACATTTCTTTCAACTAGTGAGATTAACCTCATTCAATAACCTACAAAGCCAGCTCAATATAATCAACATACACATAATCAGAAATCTGCATTACGTATTATGAAATGTCTAATTGGAATAAAAATAATAAAAACATAAAAATTAATTGCGCTTAAATTTTTACAACATAATTTTCAGTTCAATAATAAAATAAGTACAAACGCCTACATCGAACCATACACCAAATTATGTTACAAAATATTAACTTTAATAATCTTAAAAACTCAAACTAGTTTGACAGATAAACACATCAAGTGCCATTGTACTAGTGACGTCATTAATACATAGACTGTCACCTCTAAAATTACCATAACTCTATGAGATCGCCTCACAGTTTTATGAGCAATTTTTATGGGGGAAAAAAGGTTGAGACAAGGAGTCGAGTCGTCCTTCATTCAAGGTCGACTGCTTTATATACCCCGGCCCTTTAGGTACTGTCAAGATATTGAGAAATGAATTGTCTTTTAAACGTAAAGAAAGTTTTTATTCGTGTGCTCTCGTCTTTTGTTGTGTGTGTATGTGTGCGTTTGATGACGTAGTTTTTTTTATGTTTATGATTGTGGAACGTATGTGTTACGGTTTTTGGGAACAGGTGTGTTATCTTATGATCGAAGTTCATTATAAAACGGTTTACATGATGCAGTAAGCATTAACAGTAAAATCTGCAGTAAGTTTTTGATACTGGTCTGTCATGGAAGTTGTCAGGTTGCCGAGGTGGTTGATTTGTGTAAAAAAAAATATGACAATGGCCGCAAATAAATTGTCAGTTAAATCCTTTATTTGTTTAATTGATATTTTGTTTCGTTTCCTTATAATTTATAACACGCCTAAGCATTTCCACTTCTCCAAAAGTACCTACCAATAACCACCTAAACTTCACTTGCGCTTTTTATTCACCAGATTTCACTCTGAGTAATTATTATTTTGCACCAAATAGGGACAAGCTCGCCAAAAATTCCCAAAACCTACTACCGTAGCTCCTGGCTTACAGGAGTTGCAGCGGTGTGTTCAGAGTTTCGGTATTTTTCTGTTTGTATCGCCACCGATACAACAATGAAAAAACCAAAACTGAAGTCGTGTCTCAGGTATATGAATAACTGTCTTGTGTCCTGCAACTACATCAGAAGATTTATTCTAAGGGGAGAAGAAAAAACTGTAGTTTCTACTTCCTTCAGTAAATTTAATGTAAGAGACAGATTCGACTTATTGACCAAATAGGTTTTTTTTTATGGAATAAGCCGGTAAACGAGCAGACGGATCATCTGGTAAGCAATCGGCGTCGCCCATGCCACCTGGAACACCAGAGGCGTTACAAGTGCGTCACCGGCTTTTTGGAGATTAGGAGTTTGAGGATCGTTGGGGATTCAGGGATTGGGGAGATTGGGGAAGGGGAAGGTAATTGGGCCTCCGGTAACCTCACTCACACGACGAAACACAACGCAAGCGTTGCTTCACGTCGGGTTTCTGTGAGGCCGTGGTATCACTCCGGTCAAGGTAGAGGCAAGATTTCATTTGTCGTAATAACAATTATTTATAGATATTCATAGCTAATTAAAAACATGTACTAAATCTATAACACCTAGTTATCCGCATCAGATCTAGCATTCACCTAAGATTATATACCTACTTATTACGCAAAGTTCTACTGATGAGAGTTAGCATTTGTGCAATAGGTGCAAAGATATTGTAATTTCTGCTATAAGTACCTGTAGTTAGAATATTATTTATTTGATTACATAAGATTGACTGATCGAATAATTTCATACGTTCTAGAAATACAAAGAAGCGCAAATTCATGATCACTCTTAAAAAATATAAAAAATGCACCTTAGGACTAGTAGCGCCATCTCTTACGCATTTAATACATTAAAGTTGACAGTTATAATTTGAAAAAAGATGCACTTATATTGTACATTGTTGACAAAATAGTGACGTAATAAAAACATAGCAAAACACATTTATCCTTAATTCTTTGGACTTTCGGACCATTCAGTCTATTTATCAACATCTCTATCCCCAACCCAGCTTCTAATTACATAAACTCCAGTAAAATAGTCCAAAACAACTTCTTAAATCACCACAAACCCTTATCACTATCCAAATTCCATCGATATCCGGTTCTGAGGTGAATGACCTGCTTTCGTACAAAAGATCGGTGCGGATAGTGCGCGCGCGCAGCTTATCGCCGGCCTCGGGGATCTAGGCGACATGGGGAATTCTGCTGATCCACTGTTAAGATAACTGGCCTTTGATTTTGTTACATTTTAGTTTAAGACGTTTAGTTTATGCAGACAAATAAATGTATAGTTGGGTTAACTGTTGGTACAGTTAATGGCGGCTGGTTTATTTATTTATTGGTTCCATTCCGTGGTTATACATTTAAGATCTTTTTAAATTTTTTAAAGGATTTAATTTTTTTAATGTTTTTAAATAATACAGCGTATTTGAGATAATTGATTTAATAATTATTATAATTGATCTTATAGGTCGGTACGACATGGATATGTACTTACGAGTATGATATAGGACTATATTTTATTAACCATGGGATCATAATTATGAGATCGATTTTCCTTTCTGAATAACAGAATCGAAAATAAGTGTTTCTACATAAACAAATCGAAAAAATATCACATTTAACAAAAGTACGACTTTCAGTTCACCTAGACAGCTAATTAACTCACAATAATACAACACAACAGTCCCTTCCTAGATATTTGGCACATTTTCTTTATTCTTTACATACAAAAACAGTTTAAAATTATTTTCATGATTTAACTTTGAAGATATTTATGAAGACCACATGCAGAAATACACTTCTTGCCAGTGACGCAGATAATGAACAACTGCGTGGCGTATAAATGACGTTAAAGGGATATTTTCTATGAGATTCTTTGTAAAACTATTATAAACTGGACTCCTTAAGAGATAGAAGACTAGAGCCAAATTTCTGCGACTAATTTCCAATTGCTGTTCATGAGATAGCTCTTTTTTGTATGTGCTGTACAATTTCAAACTAACCATGTCCACAAAAAGGGCTACAAGCCATTGCTTCCGCGATTTAGTTCCAAATAATTTCATAGATGCTAAATGTATTAAAGGCTTCAAGATATGCAATGACTCAGCAAAAACCAGATCTTTCACGTTTGATGCTCCAGAGTCTTCCTTTATTTTCATGGGCTCCCAGTCACGGAAAGCGACGCCTTGAGATCCAACAACACGTCTCATTACTCGTCCCGATCTTGGTAGAACAAAACATGTATTAGAGTTCTGGTCAATCTTTCTTCCTTCAATGAGTTCCTTCCTTCGTAACACCGGTATCGGTGGATGCTGTATTGGCAACTCCTTAAACCTGAACAGCAGGACAAGAGCTGAAGAACATTTAAAAACTTGCAGTAATGTTACGACCGTCCATTTAGCTTGCGATCCGCATTTGTTTTTCACTAGCATTTCAATAAAAACTTCACTGTAGTGAATTATAGTCAACCACATTTTGATCTGGTCCCGCTGACCGTAATAAAGGTCCTCAGTATCATAAGTTTCTCGTAAAATCCTGTCGTTATGGAACGATACGAGTTTTGTGAGCGTATACACCAGTTCTGATGTTAAAGGTGATTTGTCCTTATTTACCGCCATAAAATAAGAAGACCACGTCGCTAAGGTTTCTATATCCGCCACTAGCCAGGGATTCTTAATCACCCATCGTTTGTAATCCATATAAATCTTTTGTAATTTCTCCATTCCAAACTTCTTTCAAATCGAAATAGAATGCAATCCTGTCTAGTCCATTCAAAAATTTAAATGAATTGGTTATGTTATCGTAAATTAAATCTCTAACACAACACAGCAACTAGTTGATTCTATTTTTTGTGTGACACGTGGCCACACAGTGCACTTACGTCCAGTTTCAATAACCTATCTATCTGTAGATTTGCTTACTAGAGATAGATTTTTGACACTTTTTGTATGGAGCTCATGTCAAAATTCTATCTCTAGTAAGCAAATCTGCAGATAGATAGGTTATTGAAACCGGCTGTAAACCTCAAACTTTTTACTAAATGATTGAGACAGTGGTGCCATCATAGCAAAATGTGACAAAAGTAAAAATTAAAATAGGGTGCGTTCAAATTGAAATGCATAAATTAATTTATCTTTTCATACTATACTTTATAGATTAAACTAATTACATTTTCAATAAAGGATTTCAATTATTATATTTTATTAGTAAGTACGTACTTAGTTAATTACCTATAATTTCATTGAGTCATGGTAGGAATAAGTTGACTATCTGGATGAATATGGTAATCGGGAAATGACGTACCAAATATGGCGTCATAACCTCTATTACGTTGCATGTCGTGATTTATCATATTTATGATGGTAACTTGATTTAAAAAATGTAATTTAAAGTAATACCTAATTAAAGACCTAGTACCTATATAAATTTAAGACTGATACACACCTCAATATTGACGCCACATCTAACAAGACACACAAGACATCATACAACATTCAATTTTTAAGTACACTTCTCAAAAATAAAATAAAATGCTACATAATCAAATCAAAAGTTATTAATTGAAACTTTCTTTCAATTATCATCAACGTCTCATCAATTTAAACTAAATAAATTGAACGATAAAATATTCGATCAATAATTCTTTGTTTATCTAATCTAAAAACATTCTGTAATCAAAATTGGGTATGCAAATTACATCACTAGCTCTCGAAAAGATGAAAAAAAATTAGGCGATTTCGAAAATCTCCACGTGTCCTAATAAGGATTAAAATGGCGTAAATATTTAAATTTTGAAAAGTCTAGAATCCTAAAAACAATATAGAGCATTTTTATTGCTACTTACGTTCAGTTTTTATTGCTTTTATTGCCAAAATCGATTCAATAAATATTTTTTTGTAAACAAATAAAATAAAATTTTGTGTAGGAAGGAAGTAAATTATGTATGCTTTTAGTCCATTTTCAAATAACATGTATTATGATAACACTTGTTGGAATCTTTGTAGACATGAAGATAATATATAAATAAAATCATAGAGTCTTGTAGTTTGGGTTAGCCATGCTTCGGTACGGATGGGCCGGCTCGACCGGCGTGATACCACGACCTCACAGAAAACCAACGTGGAACAACGCTTGCGTTGTGTTTCGTCGTGTGAGTGAGGTTACCGGAGGCCCAAATACTCTACACCGCCCCAATCTCCCCCATACCTAAATCCCCGATCCCTATCCCTGAATACTCAACCCGCCCCCCCCCCCATCCCTGAATACCCACCAATCCTCAAAGTTCTAATTCCTAAAAGGATATTTCTGATTGCTTACCATCAGGTGATCCGTCAGCTCGTTTATAGGCTAATCCCATAAAAAATGTCATCACCATCACCTTATGGCTGACATACACTTACTGTACAAAAATAAAGAGTCATAAAATTGATAATATCATACTATCACTAAAGCAACAGAAGCAAACTCAGTATTTAATTTAAGGGATAATGTAAAATAAAATATCTTTTAATATTTATTATTTACCTTTTTATTTGGGTACTTAAAAAATTGAGATTACAAAAGTTATACTTAGGTACAAAGTTATGTATATTTAAGATTACATGAATTGTATATTTTTGATCTAAAAGACTAGAAAAATGTCTACTTATACAAAAATGTACTTTGAGATCTTAATAGAAAAACATTCAATACAATACTTGTCCGTTTGCTAAAAACTGCCATACTAAGTACCCTTCGATTTCATTCAAATACATTCTTTAAATTCATCCCTTGTTTATGCCATGGTGGTAGCCAAACGCTACCACAACACTTACTTCTAAAACATCTTTGACTTCCATCACATTCCGTTTCCCTACAACATAATATCACAATCTTTCAGACATACCTCATCTCAAATAGTCTTTGGTTTTCATTTCATCTTATTTATTGGCACTTAATGTATGCCACCCAGTCCAACATCGAGATATAATTTTTATCCTTCCTTTGTCCACAGTCTCTAGGCCTAACGAATTGTTACTTAGATCTTTGATTGCAACCTACCCCTTATACTGTCATATTCAAATACTTATTATGTAGAGTATACCTTAAAATATAAACATGAACTTGAGTAATTAGTAAATGATTATAAATTGATTGATACATTGGTTAATATTGACATTGATTATATTAACTAATACTAATTTAATTACATTATCATGCCATGACCTACCTGATTATAAAAAGTAAACTGAGGAAAAAGGCCTACCTACACTAATACAGTATTAACTCGGAGTACCTATAATGTAAATCATTTTGTGCATTTGATGTATGAAATAAATAAAATGTTACTATTAAAGTATTTATAGCATGTATGATAAAATAAGGTCTACAACATAACATCTCATTCTAAGTAAAACAAATAAATATTAAATATACCTAAAATAAGAATCAAAGTATTTTCAATACAATACTAAAGCAAAATGTGTAAACTAAAATATAAATAATATATAAAGAGTTGCATCTACTCATATTTTTTTTTAATTCAGACTTAATTCATATGTGTGTCTCCCACCCACTAAATACATTTTCATTATTTTTGTTCCTGTTTTTGAATCCTCCGTCTCCGTCAAATTTGGAATTTTCCTCATGGAAGTTACTTAACAGTCTAACATTTTTGATATATTGACAAAATGCAGGAAACATTATTTCGCTTTCCAAAACAATATTTTCAATTTTACTTTAGAAGAAAAAACAAACACAATTTTTTTCTTTTTCTTTAACTCATCATGGCATCATAAAATTAATCACAATTGTTATAAAAACTTGACTTTTTTGTAAATTAAAATACTTAGGCAAGTCTATCAGGTAAAATTGTTTGGCCCCAACGTATTACAGTATTTATTAAATATAGAAAGAACAGAAAACAAATGATCGGGCTGGCCATACATATGATACAAGCAGTTATTGTGTAAGACAGTGCCTCGTTGTCCTGTTCAGCCCTATGCATTTTGGAAGAGCCAGCAAATTTCCAGAAACAAAAGAGTTTGTTATAAAACTCAATGCTAGCAAATTACTTATGTTTTTTTTGAGGTATACCTTAGACAGACTACTTTTTTTTACAGAAATAATGAAGTTGGTACGTAATTGATGTCCGCCTCTGCTCCAATAAATTAGTTATCCATTCTTCAATTCGTGTCCATCAAAAGGTTTGTCTGTATGAGAATCCTTGTATTTCCATCAATAGTTTGTATGTAACTTCAATGATCTGGTAAACGAGGATTGAAGCAAAACCGATCCTTCACTAAAACCAATACATAAACACGTATAAATATTTATTTGTCTGTAACAATTTGCCGGTAAGTTAGTAAATACAATTTGTTTACTTACCTATTGCAACAGAATGTTTTGTATCATTCCTCAATTGATTCTTATTTCAATAATTCAGGGAGTAATCTACATCATTTTATTTGCATTTCGATAACTACTTAGCGAAAGCGAACTAGCTAAGTTTACGACCAAAACAATCAATAAATTAATGTCAATGTCAAAACATCAATCAATTTTGAACTTGACAATTTCGCTGCGTTCAGAAAGTTTCTTCAGGCCAGTTCAAGGATACACAATATTCAGTTTGATTTATTTGCGCGCATAAAGTTTTTTTTAACCTTCACCTGTCTCTGTTTATGGTGATACTAAAATAATATTGTGTTGAAAACAAAATCAGTTCAATTGTTTGAGCTTGTAATTAAAAATCTGATCGATAATTTCAAAAAGTCATTCTTTCTTTCCTTCCTAAAATAGAAAATTTGATAATCATAATAATCAGATATCACTGCAGAACAGGTACCAGGATTACATAAGAGTAGAGAAGATCTGATACGTTTCGGTCGCCCACACCGAGACCGGTCAACATTATTAAGTCGTTCTGCTAACAAACCTAGATATAATTTCTACAGGGCAGATTATTCATCTGTAATAAAAAGTCTAAGAGGTGTTGACTGGCAAACGGAGTTCTCGAGCTGTGAGGGGGTTGACTCAATGGTACAAAAATTCTATCTAGTATTGACTGATCTCATAGACGAATTTGTGCCGAAACCAACGATCCATAAATCTAAGTTTCCTTCATGGTTCAGTACCTCGCTTATCAAATTGTTACGCGAAAAGGAAAAAATACGGAAAAGATTCAAAAAATATGGAAACCCCAGAGACGAAATTGAATACCACCTGCTTCGTACTAGATGTCACACAATATACGATAGATGCTTCTCTGAATACAAAAACAATATCGAAGCTAACATCCCAAAAAATCCTAAACTCTTCTGGAGTTATATTAAACATAAAAGAGGAGGCAAATCATCAATACCTGCAACAATGAATTTAAAAGACCAGGTCGGAAACACAGGCCCTGAAATAGTTAATCTATTTGCAGAACATTTTGCCTCGATCTGCTCGTCCGGCTCGGCTCCTTCGGATGCTACTTTGCTTGCGACTCCGTGTCACGCGTCCTTACAACGGAGTTTGCATTTGCTCACGATAAAGGAGTTTGAGGTGCTTAAAGCGATTAAAAAAATTGACGCTGCGAAGGGTGCCGGCCCGGATGCGATTCCGCCGGTGTTTGTGAAAAGATGTGGTTCTGCATTGGCTTTGCCTCTGACCTTAGTGTTCAATCGATCATTAGCAGATGGGACATTTCCGTCGGAGTGGAAAAGGGCACGCATTGTTCCGGTCTTTAAGAAAGGGGAAA